TTGACTTTGGTCATGTTTGAATTTGGTTTTAAAAAAACGAAATAGGAAAAAAATTGAAAATGGAAATTCACTTTCTCCCTCTCTCCACTACGTCGGCCCATTTAGCTCCGTTCGGCACCGTGCGGCCTGCTTCCCGCTCCCCACTCGGCCTTTGCTTCCAGCGGCCCATCCTGGTCTCCCTCTCTCGCACTGGCCCAAGTCACCGCGCCGGCCTAGGTTCGCAGCCAGCAAGGCCCGCAGCGTGCTCCTCCTTTCCTTCTGTGCTCACCAACTGCTTGGGCCCGTGGGTCAAGTCTTCCTCCTACCTCATGACCCGCTCGGACTCTACCGACGTCGCCGTCCGAGTGTCCGTCGCTGCCCCGTTCTCCGCCGTTGCCTTGTGCGCCACGCCTTTGCCCCTCTTAAATAGCCGCCGCACCAGCGCCGTTTTCCCCGAACCTGAGAGCGCTAGCTGCCACCCATACTGAGTCGCAGCGCCGTCGATGGATCCCGCCGTGTGAAGCTTGATGCCGCCGAGCTACCTCGGTCCTCTCCACGCCGCCACGGACCCGCACACCTCCGCGGGAAGCAGTTCGGTGAGCTCGCCGTTCTCTTCTCCACCTCCCCAATCCTTTCATTGAAGCAACCGACACCAGAATCACTGTTCCGGCGAAGCTCTATCGCCGGCAATGGCCACCACCGCCGCCGTCTTCTCTTTCCGACGGCCAGCTCTCTCTCTCCCCCGCTGATCCAATCTGAGCCGCTCCTCTCTAATCTAACGGTCCAGATCTCCTCATACCCATTCGCTGCTAGTTTCGCAAAAGAGGCCTTATACATATTTGAGACTAAACCCGCAGTCCAAAACGTCTTTCTCGATTCCGTTTTCTTCTTTTGGAAGCGTACTTTGTTTCGGTTTAGATCCAAAATACATTTTCACATATTTACAAATTTGCCACTGATTTTGTTTTGGCCATAACTTCTCTGTTTTAACTCTGATTTGACCCATTCAACTTGCGTTAGGTTCATAATTCCATAATATACATGTTCATACTACTGTTAAGTAGGTTTTCAACTTTTAAAATTTGAGGTTAGATTTAATCTATTATTTTATTAAAGGAAATCTTGTTTAATTCATATCTTCTACGTTTTAACTTCGTTTTAGTCCATTCAAGTTGCGTTGGATTTGTAATAACATAAACTACACATTGGTAACAATGTTTATCATGTCACTAATACTAGAATTTCATGGTTTAAATCATATCTTGAATAATAATTATGCAACTGGATTTTATAGATAAAATATGATTTGTTTTACTTTAGGTTTATAATTCGAATCTAAATTTGATTTAATTCAATTTATATAAGCCTCTATATAGTTAAAATAAATGAAGCCTATAGTTTTCTTGTCCACGTATAAAGCAAATCTATCGGTAGATGTATCTTTTTCACCATAGCTCCGATTAGCGTGCTCTTCGCGTCTGTGTGTTCGTAGTGAGACGTAGATCCGTTTTACAAACTTTTTATCTTGATTTTATGTTTGGTGTACTGTTCTAATTTAGTTCTATTGTTTGCTTCATGTATGATTGTACGGAAGCTTGTGTGGTGCTTTATGATTACGTCCATTCAGTGAGATATACGTGGTGATCAAGAAGAAGAAGAAGAACGTTGAAGATTAAAGCTTACCGAAGGATCGGTGTTTAAGGCAAGTATAGCATGGGATCTTCCTTGTTGTCCTATACACCTTTAATCATTTAATTCATACTGCATGTGTCTACCTTGACTGCCACTAAGGAATTCCTAGTACTTTGTTATCCTGTACCTTGATACCTATGGGGTATTGCAATGGGTAGTTTGATGCTAGTGCTCAACTACATCATGATCTTTTAACTTGACTAATGGTATATGCAATAAACACTAAAAGATGCCTTTTAGCAACATGGAACAAGGGGGCTAGAGCATTGGGCTGTTTTTATGGTGCTCTAGATTCCTCTTCCTAAGGACTTATCTGTAAGTGATCATCCGGGACTTATAGTACAACTATGAGGGCTATATGGCTCTGGCTTTAGCTCAGTATGAGTACCTTTTCTAGCTTGTTAGAGGTTACCTTTATTGGCATAATAATGGCTTGCCGAATCAGGTATCGGACAACTTCTACTCTTATGTGTATAGCCGTGATGGAATTGTGCCATTCAACAGGGGGGTTCCTATATCTGTTTGTCGAGTGAATCTAATGGCCCTAACTTGTTAGACAAACCTTTGAAAGGCTTCATAGTGAACCCTGCCGACCTTCCTTGGTAGTGGGTTAAGAGGTTGGCCGCCTCGGGCGAAAGGGTAAATCAAGACTCACAGTGAAAGTGTACAACCTCTCAGAGTGTAAAACTGGTATATCAGCCGTGCTCATGGTCATGAGCGGCCTTGGAACCCTTACGGAATAGATGATGAACACTGATAATACTGATGATAAAGATGCTCACGGATGATTACTGTTTATGCTATTCATTATTCATGTTTACCTGATCATGTGTTTATATGGGCTTGGGATAAACTTGCTGCTACTCAATTGCTAAAATTGTGAAAATTAAAAGCTAATTGCAGTTAAACTAGTCTCAGCCTTTTGAGCCTCATGAACCCCATGTTATATTTGTTGAGTACGACATGTACTTACGCTTGCTTTATTTTCACATATTTGGTTAAAAATCCTAGATGGGTACCAGATTGCTAGAGTTTGGAGGAATTAGGCTGTGATCAACCAGTCAGTTGTCTCTGTGGAATTGGAGTCTTCACCCAAGATCGGAGTTGTCTTTACGCTGTTTGTTATCTAAGGTTATATTCTTTATACTAAGTATGTTATATATTAAGCATTATCTATTGATATTTGCCTTATTTGTAGCTATATGTGAGATTTGACTTCCTGGGCTCACATATGGTGTGTATTTGGTTTTGTGCTTAAAACCGGGTGCTCCACTCACAATGTTGGGGTCTCACAAACCGATGAACGGCGAAACTGTTCTTGACAGATTAATCTAAGCAAAACCCCAAACCCTAACGGAGGGGTGGCGGCGGTTTATGAAGACTCTAGGGTCATGCAAAGACCCCTAGACGCGCCCCCTAATGGGCCCAAACACTATACATGGTCCAACGGACCAAAAGACGGTGTCGTAGCACCTTGGCAGATTCTGGACGCTGACTTGTTTTGACGATCCCCATTGATTCCGAAGGGCTTTTGACGTGAGACCACTTGCATCAGCTTCCTTATCTAATTTTCTTTCCATCCCATATGTGGATTGTCGAAAACGAAGCCCGGACACGCCTGTGTGACTAGTTTTATGATAGACTGGTCCTGGAACCCGAGATGGGCTCCAACTTCAGTTGGACTGGGCCTCCACCATGAGAAGGATGAATTGGATGCCCATGCTAGACCTCCTCCTCTCCTTGGCTTGTATGTGATGGAGTGATGTCCTCATCATGACCCTCTGCTATGTTCCTAAGCAAGATAACATTAGGTAGTAGTCTATTCTCAAAAGTATGAAAATGATCGCTTAAGAACGAGCTCACCTCTAAATTGAGTTGACGCATTCAAGCTCGGGTCATTGGACCTTGCATAATGGTTGGAGGATCAGCGGGTACATCCGAAGGAGTGATGTCCTCATCATCCTCCCCCTCTTGAAACTGAGTCGTCCTTGACTCAAGCTCATCTTCTTCTCCCAAATAAGGTTTCAAATCTGCAGTGTTAAAGGTGGAACTAACCCTGAACTCGGGTGGCAACTCAAGTTTGTAGGCATTATCATTTATTTTCTCAATTATCTTATAAGGACCATCTGTAGCACAAGTGCTACAACACCTTGATAGGGGCAATCAAACAACTTTGGACCAAACATGGTTATGAGGCAAAGAAGCACATATGCAATTATGAACTTTTTGATATTGGTGTTCCAATCCAGTCCAACAAGTAAGTAGTTTTTCTGGTCTAATTAATGTTACCTTTATGTATATAGTCAAATTTGTTATCTGCACTGAGTCCTATATTGTTTGTTTTGTCTCTGCAGTCATGATTATGGTTTCCATATGTTGATGCATGTTGAACATTGGGATGGACGTTCAATGCAATATTTCAAGGAGAGTGACATCCCTAATATATGCAAGCTTCTACTGCATAAGTGGGTAACTCACAAAGATAATGTTGTGCAGAGTTGGAAAGACAGGTTGCATTTATAAGAGGTAAAGCCTATAAATATTTTTGTAATGGTTTCCTGTAGTTAATGCCTATGCTGCAATGTTTCAAAAAAAACTATAAAGCCTAATATTACAACTCTAGACAACTATACATAACTACATCTAGTACACCTGCTACTACTATAGCCACTACTAGCTACAGCTGGTCAGTACCAGGCTGAGATCAGGCACTACTTATTATGTGTGTGAGGCAAGTTGTTGGTCAGGCAATTTATTAGTAGCTTGTTAAGCAATTTAATATCATTAGCCAGGCAAGTTATTAGTATTCTGGTAGCAATTATGTGTGCCCAACACCAAAAATGTGCCTACAACCTCTGTGAAACCAGAGCAGAACTGGCTAACAACAGTGTTGAGCGTACTTTTTTTCTACAAAGGACAAAAGAAGAGAAAAAACAGGTGTAAGTAATGGAATGAAACCACGCACACAAATTTTGGGAAAACCCCAAAAAAAGGAGTGAAAAGGCAAGGCCATCACGGGATTCATGAAAAGCTAAGCTAAACTCTAGAAAAAGGATGAATCAGCATACTACTACACAAGTCAAAAGTAGGCGCAGAAGAAACTACATAGAAAAAAAGGATGAAGTATAGGATGAATCAAAATTTTGTAATTTATTTATTTTTTTGTTTAAAAAACAATCAACCAATGGGCTAAACTCTGAACTTAGTAAATAGGAAAGGCAACACACATTAACATTTGAGTCTTATCATATAAGATGTACAACGGGTCTGCCAACACAAATTTTCACACAAACACATTCAAGTACATTTCAGTAACACTATTTCTTAATTTAAATTGTTTCTTGATTTTGAACTTCTCTTCCAGGCTTGTCTAGACATCTCTGTGCATTGTGATCATATGATCTACAAACGCTGCACCCATTCTTCCTCTTTGCTTGGCCATTAATCCCCTTTTTGTGTGCCTTCTCCTTCCTATGCCCTTTGGCTTTTGACTTTGGGGGGTTCCCTACATTTGATGAGCTTGGACCATCCACTACACCTACAGGGTGAAATGCAATATCAGCAACTAAGTAATCAAGTATAGGTGTACTAGGATGAAGTAAAGCAGAACACAGGGTCTAGTTTTAAACCTATAGTTCGCAGTGAAGGTCCAGTTGGAGTAGAGGCACCTGGACCAATGTTCTGTAGCACCAGGGTCTTGTGCACCTTCTATGCACCACCTTCTGTAGCACCAGTGTTCTACCTATTCGCCATCTTCCTTTTCTTGATTTCTTCAAATTCAGATCGCATCTACTTGATGTGCTTCTCCAAAACAGCATAGTTTTCATCACTTGTACATCTCTCAACTGCTAGTGCCACAGATGCGATGGATGCGTTGGTGAATCTCAGAGTTTTCTGGCTAGTCAATGGCATCCCATGGGCTACAAGTTCCACTGGTGCCTGCACATTTTGGACCTAATCTGTATCACTAGTAATTGCTTGCTGCATCCACCTTTTAAGGATGTAACTTTCTGGTATCAATTTCACCCCCATCCTGATCACAACCCTCGTAATGTGGCAGCAAATGATTCCATCCCTGTCAAACTTGCTACACTCACAACAGTAGCTTTCCTCCTCTTCTATTGCGGTAACAAGGTAGTTCCTTTTTCCATACCCATAAACAAAGCTGTTATTGGGCTCCACCCAATATTGGAATGGTCCTACAGGCTTCACATCATATTCTGTAGTTTTCTCAAACTCTTTGGAGAACTTGTAGAACATATTCTTTGTGTATACAGTGGAAGCATGCTTCTCAAGTGGATGCCTTGACCATCGTCTTCGCTCATTCTCATCAGTCCTAAAGTCTTGCCCATCCTGTGCTACTAAACACTTCTCTTGTATTTTCTGGTATTGTCTCACAAACTGTAGCACAAACAAGTTTAGGTTCACATACTTCTTGAGCAAAGCATTGAACCCCTCGCTCCTTTGAGTTGACTGGAGGAATGGGAAGAAGTTGTGCATGTAGTAGGCTGGAATGAAGCTCTGCCTTATGTGGTACAGGTGCTGAAAATGCTCATTGCCCTCCAAATCATGTTTTTGGACCATAGCGACCCACTTTGACTCAAAATCTTTAGGACTTACGGTGTGGTTCAAGAAATCCACAAACTCCTCATTTAGTTCTTCATTTTTAGCAAGGATTAGTCTAATTGTGCCTGAAAACTTGCCCATGATATGCCACCTGCAATTCTTGTGGGTCATGTTTGGAAAAAATGGTGCAAATGGTAGCTCTCATCGCAGCGTCCTAATCAGTAATTATGTTGAGGGGTGCCTTTTTGTCCATTGCCTCTAGAAATGTTAAAAAAACCATTTATAGGTAGCTGCCTTCTCATTCCTTATAAAGGCACATCCTAGTTGAAAAGGTTGGCAGTGTCTGTTGATTTCGATGAATGGTGTACAAGGCATCTCATATATGTTGGTCATATAGGTTGCATCAAATGAGACGCAGTCGCTATATGCCTCTTTGTAAACTTGTCTTGCAGCTGAATCAACCCAAAATAGGTTCTCAACCCTATGGTTGTCATCAAGCTTGATCTTGTAGAAGAAATCAGGGTCTTCTTCTTTCAAAGCTCTGAAGTAATCCAAAGTTTCCTTCATATCTTTGAATTTTTCCATCTTGTGGATGGTGGTGCGAAAGTTCAAAACTTGTTTGCCCTCATATGGCACCAGCTGTGCATAGCCATAGAACTCGCTCATCAACTACATGATTCGACCCGTGCTCAAGTTGCATCCATGTAGCAAAACGATGAAATCATTTTCTGGCTTTGGTATCCCTCTGTGGGACCTTAGGAACTTCTTGAGCGAGGGCTTCACCACAAGATCGTGGTTGTGCTCGGCCAAAAAATTGATGACTTGCCACCTGGAGCCAATCATTTTGACCACCATCCTCGCCTTGTAGTTTGTATATAGCATTTTCTCCCTCTACCTTTTCTTACATCTGTCAAGCTTCTTCCTCTTCTCCCCTTGATCATCCTCTTCCTCTTGTGCGCTATCCTCCTCTTTTGCTTCATCATTGTCAGAGTAGCAAGTGATAGCATCAACAAGTTGAGCAGCAACTCTCCTTTTCTTACCAAAGCCTTACTTATTGCACACGAACTGGACCTTCTGCATTTCTCTTGTGATTGCAGACCAGCGTGACGTGTTTGTTCTAATCGAGAAGCTAGTTCTCTTTGCATAAGAGTTGTATTACTCTTTTGCTTCATCTAAGGATGCAAAAGACAGCCCATTGTGTGGTACTTGAGGAGTAGACCACACCTCTTCCTCCTCTTCTGCTACTTCATTTCCAGCACCATTCAATTCATTATCAGCAACTATAGGATTAGCAGTAGAGCCTTCATTCCTGTCCTCAATCCTTGCCTGTTCAAATGACAATATGATCTCATAAATGGTAGGAAGAACCTCTTCTGAAACTACAGGAGCTGCCTTGCTAAACCAGCATGACCAAATTTAGAAAAGGGTGTACCCAGTGCAGAGAGCTCTCACTCTGTGTCGGGTCTAGGCAAGGGTGTCAGTGGCAAGCCTTACCATCGCCTGTGCAATACGAGGAGACCATGACTCAAACCTGGGACCTTCCAGTCACACCCGGGACCTTCAGCATGACCAACTTCAGAAAAACTAGGCAAAATCTACTAGTTCACATGCTCATCATTAGGCTGAGGAATTTCAGGAATTGCAGGCACTTGAGTGCAGAAGGTAGGGTTGCCGGTCACATAATCCAAACCAAATGCATCCAAGAAATCTTCATCCAAATCTGGTGGTAGCTTGTTAAGATCAATATTTGAGAACTGCATGAAAAATAGAAAGTTACATGAAATTAGGCAACTTTGTCAAACCCGTTAGGCAATAATATTGTACAAAATGAGGCAAAAAAGGCTAGTAACTTATGCAGTTTTGTTCAGTACATGCTATCAGTTTTGTTCAGTACATGCTATCAGTTACATAAAATTTCATGATAGCTGTGGCTATTAGTTTTCCAAAGTTACAGTGGACTGTACCTAAATATTACAACCTACAAAATGGACACATGAGAGTTTAGAAACTTAAGACTGTCCATGGTACAAAATACATTTTATTCCATAGTCAGATTTCAACTTAATGAATCTACTGTTCTTGTGTTTCCCTCTTTTTGCAGAAAGTTGAAATTGAGGCTTTCTTGTCCTCAACTCAGTTGATTTAAACATTTTTCATCAGTTCTCACTATCATCTATGTGCTTATCATGTACTTCTATTTAATTGCAGGTGTGAGGCCATCAAGCATCAAAATGAACATCTACAGCAACCATGTGCAGCAGCTAACACAAGAAAGTTTAATGCATAGGAGTAACCATGTACAGCTTCTAACATAAGAAGGTTTAATGCATCAAGATGTACATCTATAGGAGTGGTGCATACAACATATATCCATATTAACTAGTAAGAACACCATCTGGTAGTAAGATGTGTAGTAAAACACTAGTCATTTACATGTCCAAGTTAGGATCAGATCTGCTAATGTAGTAGGAACTGCATTACTATTTGTGATGCAAGAGAACTGGATTGCTTATGCAAAACAACTGAATTGCTTATGCAAAAGTAGTGAATTGCCTATCAGTTAGGATCAGATCTGCTTATGCAGTAGTAATAGCAGTACTATCTGATATCAGAACTGAATTATTTCTAGTAACAGATCTGGTTGTTTCTATTGTGTAATTCTAGTGTCTGAGAAGAAGCTGGTTTTCTATAGCTGATAGTATCAAGTTCTTGCATATTTGTACGTACCTGCTGTTTGGATGTATTAGCCTGCCTTGTTTGGATGAATCTGCCGGCCGCCCGATGGTGGCGGCGGCGTCCTGGACTCCTCTGTTTTGTGTGTTGAAAGGGAAAAGCAAAATAGGGTGAGGGGAAGAAGCTTCTAAGTGAGGCATGGGCCTGGCGTCTGGTGGGCCTTGTCCAGGAAGCGCGCTTGGTGTGCACCCGCCGTAGCGCTTCGCACGCGCACACGACCGCTGCTATTCCCACAACCAGGATGGAAATAGAAAGTGTATACTATTGGATTTCCTAATGCGGAGTGTGCGTGTGGCCTACTTAATGCATGCACGGCCGTTGTAACACCCTAAAATTTGCATAATTTTGAAATGGGCTAAAACGACTTAGTTATGCATGTCTATGAGCATGTGAATTTAGGAAAATAATAATTTTTATAAAAATAAAATCAAATATAGGTTTACAATCATGTGTGTGCATTCATGCTGCTGCATATTGTTTTCTTGTATTGTGTGGTTTGAAATTGCATTTCAAAATGATTTGAATTTCATTCAAAATTTGGGTGGAAATTAGAAAAGAAAAAGAAAAGACTTTTCTTCCCTCTCTCCCTATTTGGCCTGTTGGCCCAGTTCCAGCGTCGGCCCGCCTCATTCCCTCTGCGCGGCCTGCTCACTCCATCCGCGTGGCCCGCTTCTAGCTCGACCTCCCTCCCGCGCCCCGCTCCTCCCGCAAGGCCCAGCAGCGCGCGCCCCGACCTAGCCAGACACACCGCGCTGTTCTCCTCTCCTCCCTCTCGCTGACCGCCCTAGCCCACCTGGCTATAGCCATCTTCCTCCTCACTCGTATCTAGGACGGACTCCGTCGCCGCCGTCCAACTCCGCGCCTGGTACGCCTCTTGCCATGCCTTGTGTCGTAAGCCGCCTTGCCTCTTAAATACCGCCCGAGCCTACGCCGCCTCCCTACTCCACCCTCCAGTGCCACGCAGCCATCCTCACCGAGATGCCACATTGCTTCCCAGCCCTAGCCACTACCATTGACGTCCGCCTCGCCGAGCGCCGCGCTGCCTTCGTCGCTTCCCGCTTGTTTTTTTGGTTCCGGTGAGTTCCCCACCCTCTCCTCTCTCTCTCTCTAGACCTCTTTGTTTGGAAAACCATGCACCGTAGTCTCTTAACCGACATCTCCGGTGAGCTCATCGCCATTCTGGCCAAGGCGCCGCCGCGTCCATCCTATTCCGGCCGGCCATCGTCGTCTCCTCCAAGCCCGATCCAATCCCAGCCGCCCGCATCTAATCCAACGGCCCATATCGAAGGATACCCCTTCGCTGGCGTTTTTGCAAAAAACCCCTTACAATTAATTAGATCTTAAAACACAGTCTATAGCGTCTTTCCCAATTTTGTTTTCTTCTTTTGAAAGCGTATTTTGTTTCGGTTAGATCTGAAATACGTTTTCAGCTATTAACAGTTTTGCCACTAAATTTGTTTAGGCCATAACTTTTTCGTTTTAACTCCGATTTGATCCGTTCAACTTGCGTTAGGTTCGTAATTCCATAATCTACATGTTCATACTACTGTTAATCATGTTTTCAACTTTTAAAATTCAAGGTTAGATTTAATCTATTATTTTACTAAAGGAAAACTTGTTTAATTCATAACTTCTTCGTTTTAGCTTCGATTTTTGTGATCTTCGCGTCTGTGTGTTTGAAACGAGACGTAGATTCATTTTCCAAACTTTTCATCTTGATTTTATGCTATTGGTGTACTATTCTAATCTATAGAATTTGTTTGCTATGCATGATTGCTTCTGGATGCTTGTTGCTGTGATTATCGAGTATAGACGATGAGCAATTCGTGGGAGATCAAGAGTATTACTTTGACGTGCCAGGTCAGCAGGAGTACTTTGCTCAAGGAAAGTATAGCATGGGATCATCCTTGTTTCCTATTTACTTTAATACATTAAATTCATGTTGCTTATGTCGCCTTGATAGGGATTCCCTAGAATTGAACTTTTACCTTGTCACCTACGTGATATGCATTGGGTAGCTTTGTTAGTGCTCAATTAAATCATGATCTTGTAACTTGACTAATGGTATATGCAATAAACATTAAAATATAACTTTTTAGCAACTTGGAAACAGGGGGCTGGAGTGTTTAGCTACTTTCTAAATGCTTCAAATTTCTCTCCCTAAGGACTTATCTATAAGTGATCATCCGGGACTTACAGTACAGCTGTGAGGGCTATTTGGCTCTGGCTTTAGCTCAGTATGAGGACCTTTTCTAGCTTGTTAGTGGTTACCTTCATTGGCATAAGAATGGCTTGCTAAATCGGGTATAGGACAGCCTCTACTCTTATGTGTATAGCCGTGATGGAATTGTACCATTCGACAGGGGGGTTCCTATATCTGTTTGCCGAGTGAATCTAATGGCCCTAACTTGTTAGACGAACCTTTGAAAGGCTTCATAGTGACCCCTGCCTGCTCACCTTAGAAGTGTTTTGGGAGTTGCAGACCTAGGCATATGGGTACCACGACTCACAGTGAAAGTGTACAACCTCTGTAGAGTGTAAAACTGGTATATCAACCATGCTCACAGTCACGAGCGGCCTTGGAACATTTAAGGAATAGATGAACATTAAGAATTATCTATTTATGCTATTCATTATTCATGTTTACATTGATCATGTGTTTTGCATTGGAAATTGAAACAACTTGTTGCTACTCTTAAGCTAAAATTGTGACAACTAAAAGCTAAATGCTGTTAAACCTGTGTCAATCCTTTTGAGCCTCATGAACCCCATGTTACACTTGTTGAGTACGACATGTACTTACGCTTGTTTATTTTCATTACTTGGATAAAAATCCCGGATGGGTAACAAATGGCTATGGTTATGACGATTTCCCTAAGGATTACTAGACTTGTGGTCAACCAGTTGACGTCCCGGTGATATGGAGCTTCCGCGAGAGATCTTTTCTTTATACTTCCGCTACATTTATGTGAAGAGTCTGTCTTATTCGTGATGTAATAAACACTTATGATGATACTATTCATAATTTATCGGCTTATCTGTGTGACTGATCTCTGGGCGCACATAAGATTTTGCATCCCATTTGATCCTTAAAATTGGGTGTGACAACCGTGCATTAGTCATTTCCTACATTTTTTACCACACACTTTTTTTGGCAATTTCCTGATGCATATGCATAAACAAAGGCAGAAGCTGAGAAGTTGGTCATCAAGGCCAATGGCATTAATGACCTTCTAACAAGTTGCTTACGTCCTGGTGCCATATTTGGCCTAGGTGACAAAGTGATACCAACTTTGGAACGTTATGGATGGACACATGTAAGGGACTCTATGCTATGGTTAATATTATTGAACTAACAAGAAAAATTAAATTATAAAAATATTTTGGATCATAAAAAAATAGCTATATTTAGCATTGGACATTGACACTACTGAGTGATGCCTCTGCAACATTGCATGAGTTACATAAAATTAATAGCAAAATTGAGATAGGTGAGAACAGAGGGACACTCATTTTTTGGAGAGGTACGGGCATGCATGATGAGCAAGCAAACCCTAAATCCTCATTCTTCTCCCATGTGTTGCTTCTTTTCTCCTTTGCCTAAATAGACAGAGGTTGTGGCTGGGCTGGGCAAGACTCAGTCATGGGAGAGAGGTACAAGGAAAAGAACAGAAAAAATGACTCAGTCATGGCTCATAATGTGGCTAAATATCGTAGCACATCTTTTTTTTCTTCCTTAAACCTTGTGACAACATAATTTCGTGATCTAAACTTAAAACAATATAATGTGTATGAGTAGTCAAACAAAATACATTTGATGAGAGCTCTATGTATCCATAACATCTGATCATCCATCAAGAGACAATAAAAAAGACAACTTGCCTTCTTTTAATGTGTCTTGCCAATCATAGAAAAATCATTTAATCCATATTAAAACCATATTTATCCCTTATGTATTCGTGAGTGTTACAATTAATCTGCTAAAGAATTGCTATAAATAAACTCTTTGTGGGACCGAAAGAGTACAAAATATAACAATTTTCATGCAAAAATGGCCCAAATCGCTACAAAATAAACACTTTAGAGTTTAGTTCATATCTTATTTCTCTTGCCAAAATGAGGCCTAAATTTCCATGTAGTGTTAATAATTTCTAGGCTATAGTAGTACTTTTGAAACCGGGCCAGTAATAGTACTGCCTATAATAATACCAAATCAAGCAAAAACAATACAAAATTATCACGGCTATCAATGGCATCATTAAGAATGTTCAACTAGTCAGGAGCCAATGAAAGAACTAATAGAAAGGTTTATGATCGATCAATATATATTTCTATATACAATCTAACTAGCATAATATGCTACAGGTTACTATTGGTGATGGGAAGAATTGTGATGATTTTGTGTATGTTGAAAATGTTGTACATGGTCATCTTTGTGTTGATAAGACTCTTTCTACTATTTGGGGTGCAAGAACCAGTGGAGGAAAAGTATGTTCTTACTATTGAATGGAAAAACATATTTCATCTATAAATTATTATATCATGACATATTTGAATTTTTAGGCATACTTCATAACTAATATGGAGCCAATGAATATGTGGGACTTCACATATCTTATTCAAGAAGAACTTGGATACAAAAGGTGTTCATTCTATGGATATATGCTTATACCTCAATAGAGCATTTTATTTCACAATACAGTTTACAAACTAGCAATTTAATTTGCACCCAAATTCATTTCATCTATTTTTGTTTTGTCCCATTTTACAATACATTTCCTAAATATTGCATTGGATGCCTAAGTCAAGTTGTAATCCTCTTGGAAAATTGTTGTTTAATTGTAGTAATTTTGATAGTGCACAGGACATGGCCTATGAAACAATTAAGCAAGACATAACCAAATTAGTTATTGAAAGCCTTGATTTACGATATTGGCTTTTGAAGTTAATGCATTTTATATTTGAATGATTGTTGTTAACAACTGGTAATGTTTAGTTCCCTGCAGAAAAATATGGAGATATATACCTATATATTACAAAAATGCTATGGTTCCCCGATGATAATATATACTTAAGTCTCTAAAATATTATCCATGCTTCTAGTTTGTGTATTTATGGTGTAGTACTTTTGTTCATTTATACATCTCTGTAATATTTACTTCTTTTTTCATCAACTCTTCATTAGAGTTGTTGATTATCTATGAAGCGTACTTTATAAATATAATGTAGAGAAGGGGTTCAATTTGGAACTATTTTCTCCATTTACAATTTTCACTAAAAAATTGATTTTATTTTTAGTTTTTTCATTATTATTATGAGACATATAATAGATTATATATCTTGGTCCTGAAACATATTTTATTTTGTTTAATTTGAATATATATTTTTCATACTTAGTAGAAATGATACAAAACAATTCACATTGCTAATACATATGTTGAATGTTTTTTAGAATATCCAAGATAAGGATACCTACATTTGTTATCAAGCTAGCAAGATATTTTATAGAGTGGGCATATAAGGTCGTTTTCTCTCATTTTGGAATTTGCCAGCCTCAAATGCTAACACCAGCAAGGATTAGATATGTAACACTCAATAGAACATTTAGTTGTAACAAAGCTGTTGAAGAACTTGGCTACAAGCCTATTGTAACACTACAGGTTCGAAACTTAAACTCTTTTTCTATTATCTTCATAGTTTTCTCTATTGGTGTAACTCATTTTTATTTGAAATGTTCATACACTTTTGACTTATGGTCTAGGATGGTTTAAAGAAAGCAGTGAAAATGTATATTCAATTGAGGAATAAAGATTTATCTAAGAGATAGTAAAGGTATGATTTTTTACATCAATCGCCCCTGTACTCTCATTATATGTCATCCTTGATGTATAAAGTACATCCTACTAGATCTATACGTTGTCAATATTTTTTCTAACAATGTTAGATGTCAACACACTATGTGAAGCACAAATTAATGAATACCAATACGTGCTTATGAGAGAGCTAAGTACCAAAAATTACAATAAATTAGGTAGTTTTGATTCTGCCCGCAAAAGTATTACACTATTATTAGAACAATTGTATGATGAATAATAATTTTCAACTCATTATAATAGTGATCAAGGTATCTGTGGTTCAAGTTTGATATGCATGATTTTAAAAGAATGCTACCCTAAAATATTATAAATCATGAAGACAGCATCTGCTCCACTACTATACCAATAGCACTAAGACTATTTATAAAAGAACTATGTATTCGGAAAAAAAATCAGGGCTAACGGGTGAGCAACACATCATGTATGCAGGTTGTATATACTGACTGTACCATATCTTATCATAGCTTTGTGTGCAATATTAGAACATTATAGTGTCATGGATTCGTTGGGACATCATCTCATGTTTCTTACAGTTGTGATGTAAGACAACTCTACAAATGTCAAAAGCCAAAGCCAGAGGGTGATGATGCCTCCATTAATAAAAAAACTCGAGTTTGTGTATTCTTTATTGTACTAAGGAAAGCTATGTAATGGATTGTAAATTAGTTTTAGGTAAGGATCAACTATAATGCTCTAATGGTTTTGCATGTATTTATATTATTTTGAATTGTAGATGATATTGTATTTTCTTTTATGTTCCTCTCATCATGTGAAATGTGAAATTAACGCCATCGTAACTACTGATAATGCCTTGATTCGATAATGAGTAATGGAAAACTTGTTGTATTGCAAGTTCCTCAAACTTTCAAATTCAAGATGTTTTGACTAGTCTTCACCCATTCATATTCATTTTATTATCATTTTTTCCCAACACACGTAGTTGTATCCTTTGTTCTATTCTTTCTTTTAGATACCCTTGCAAATAAATTAAATATTTATTTTAGATGATATCACTACCAGAAAACAAAGATTTAATGAAAGTGACATATTTTGTGAAAGGTGTGCAATATATAATGAAAATATTTTATTTCATGAAGGTGGTACATTAACTGTGATGAAAATATATTTTTGTGAAGGTGTTCCCACAAACCATGAGGAAAAGTGACAATTGGATGGCAGTTACCTCAAACTCTTGTCAAAATAGCTATCCCTCATGAGTATAACATACTCCCCATCTCCACTGCTCATTTGCTCTAGAACAGAGATATGTGGCGGCTCAAGGAGTAGAAAGTGCACATGAGGTCTCAATGGGGTGCACCAGAGCTGGTGTGTTGTGGCGCCAAATGGTGTTGCTTGGGCAGGACGTGTGGGCTGGGGCGCACCAAATCTGTGAGGAACCCTCCTCAGTTAGCCAACAGAAATTGCGTGTCATTCTCCCAACTAACACAGTTTAAGCCCACTAACCATAGGAGCCTCTAGAGTCACCACCTGTGATCTCCACTAGCACAAAACCGTAGGATCAAATTATGGGAGTTCACACATGTAACACCCTAAAATTTGTTGTTTTCGAAAAAGATATAAATTGATTTAATTTTGTATTTTGTGTTCATGAAATATAGGAAAAAAGAATGTTTTTCATTATATTAAAATTCATCACAAGGAGTAGCAACATGGTTGTGCATACATGCCTGTGCATTTGTTTTATTGCTTGAGTGGTTTGAATCAAGATTCAAAATAGTTTGAATTGCTTTTGGAAATAAATTAAAAATGGCTTTGAAGTAAAATAGAAGAAAGAAAAAGAGAATTGGAAAATAAAAGAGTTTAAAAGGGTTGTAAAATTTATTTTTGGCAGCCTACTAAAATTTCTGATTTTTATTTGAATGATTTGGATCATATTTGAATTTGGATTGAAAAAGGAAAATAGAAAACTCTCCCTCTCCTAACCCACAACCCGCTCTCCCTTTTCCCCCTGGCCTGCTTCGCTCTCCCTCTCTCCCGCAAGCGGCCCAACCCCGCTCTCTGCCGAGCCAGCCCAGCAAGCAGGCCGCGCCACACCGTGCCTCCTCTTCCCTTGCACGCAGTCACTGACAGCCCAGCTGTAGCACCCTAAAATTTACATTATTCCAAGAATAGCTAAATTGATTTATCTAAAGCATTTATGTGAGCATTCAAACATAGGAAAGTAATAATTTTTATAAAACTAAAATCAAATATAAGATTAGCTACAAGTGATGCATACATGCTGTTGCATATTTATTTTTGTGATGAATGGTTTTGATTCAAAGTCCAAATGAATTCAAAATCTGATTGAAAATGAATTTGGAAAATTGTTGGAAAAAGGAAAAGAATTATTTTTTCCCTCTCCCTCCCTTCCTTGATTTTTGGC